CGTACTGGTTGCTTATAATTGTACGTGAGATCTTTCAACATCGGTGGAATATGGCCGTTATTCTTACATTCAATCCATACTGGCGCACATTCGTAGTATTACTGCGTATGAGGGTTACTGTTTCTCCATCCAGTTTGTGGTAGTCCATACGCAAGTGTGAACAAATGCCCGTTCACAACATTGCAATACTGCAGCTCGAATCAGGGACTTTTGGTACGCCAACTGATATTCTGAATGACTAAGTGGAAGCCATTTAGAAACACTTGTAAGCGCCACACTTTAGCCTAACAGACTGATGGCAGTGTATCTCGCTTGACACCGTTATTTACTGGTTTGATGTCTAAATGAGACTCGTCTAAATTACAAGTCCCGCCAACATCTGTTCGTGTCTCGCTACGTTTCTACTTGATAGATGGATTTTATTACGTCTCTTCTCGTGTGGCACCGTGACTTATTAGGGGTTGCAATATGAAGTTAATGTATCCCATCTCAAGTGTCTCTGTACGTCACCTTGTGCTGCTGCCACCTTCAGGTAAACGCACTGAGGTTCAGACAAGTCATCAAGGTTGATACCGGAACAGCGGCAACGCGATGTGACATTCAAATCAAAATGCTTGGGCATAAATAGCATTCTAGGCACTAATGAATTGGTCGAGATATGCTAGTGGTCAGAATGAATGGCCAGAAGGAAATAAGTAGTAACACACGACGGACTGCTTGTTGGTTCTACATCTTTGTTGATTCTCGCTCGCCTCAGACAAGAGACGACCGGACCGGCTCTAGTTTTTTCTTCCGACACGGATAGCCTGCAGTGGACATAATCGCACCATTTTTCTGCTAACTTGAAAAGTTGCTTACTCCATCTCCGTCATTTTCTTTGTGCCATCCTTATTCTATATCCCGCATGTAAGTCGCGCTTGGGCACTGTTTTATTTTAGAATGATTAACTACTGACGTGGGACTTGATACAATGTAGTATGGTTATTGCACCTGTCTACAACGGATGATCCACATCTAATTTGCCTTTATTGGGCTTACTTAACTCGGTTGTATTTAGCGATGACTTCGCGTGTTGCCCATTACAGTGTTGTGCTCATCATGACCTATACTATGCTATTCTTGCTACCTTCTCAAGTGGAGTCTATTGTGGTGACATACCGAGACGGTGAGCTACGGTATCTTCCTCTTCGTATTATTATTCGGTCGCGATTCACATCACTATGTAAGCTCCAGGGTAATACTCACCAGACTATGCTATTTACATTCTGCTCCTTGAAACCGATTTCTAGATTACATAACCGTAGCTTGGCAATCTGCCCAAACGATTGAATACTTGGACATTTGCAAAACTGCGAGCACTGTTTGGGAAATCGCCTGTTTGATAGTGGGCAGCGGGATTTAGTTGATGTCACCTCTCAGTATCCAAGGTTGCGCATCAATCGTTCTTCAACTAACTGCACATACCTCGGGTAGCAGATGACCGAACCGGTCGGCAACACAGAGAGCTAGAAGTGGACACTCCATCGCATTCATATGCTGTTCAATCTCCCCCATCAGCTGCGCAAACCATACTGTACATATAGACGACAACACCTAAGTGCACACTATTTTACTGCACCACTTGTTTGTTTATCATTCTACCTAGCAGTTGCCTCACTATTCCTATATCGGGTTTCTTCTAATATGAATGCCTAAAATTTAAGACTGTCACGTTCGTATTGGGTACTTATTGTCATGCTTGCGAAATTGGCTATTAGCCTGATCTCCACACGAAACCCATACACGTTTGTACTGCCATCGATCATGAAATCTAATGTGTCTCCATCCAGTTTGTGGTAGCTCACACTTCAGTTTGGATAAACGCATGTGCATATGGTGTATTCAAACTGCCATTGGACACGGACGACGCCAATACATGTATATATCTATACCGAATGAATTCGACGAGGATACTCATACCGCTTTTGTACGACCAACTTAGTGCATGGAAGCGGCACTCGAGCAAACGGAACATAACAGTACCAGAATATGAAGAAGGTGAGTTTATGACAAACTCATGTTGATTTCAGATGCTGCGAGTCTTAGGCAACTTTGATCGATGCGAATTCCGTGGACTGCTCAAAAGGGTGGTTGCTCAGGTGCAAGAGAAGGCACTATTGCACGCGGAATAGAAGCACGATGCGTAAGCTCCCATTCAATTTATTAATTCTGGCCAATAAGACGACGTATGTGGCACCTTTGCCTGCTTGCTGAGTAATCTTGCATTTCAGAAGCAGATGTTGTTTGAGCTCCCCGGTGTGGCTGCGCCTGGTGTGCATGTTGACAAGGTGCCTACCTGTCTCTTACCCACTACCTCGTCCATACTGGCTCCAGGAGACAGTTGCTCGTTGCTGCAGGGGACGGGGTGCACCGTCCTCGTGACGGTGCTAGGCTCAAGGAGTGTTTCCATCCTGTGTGGAGTGGACTACGGTCCAGCCACCGTCTTGTGTGCACTTGGTTCCCAAATACAGCGTGCCTGTGTTTGCCTGTGAAGGAGTGTGGGCCGGCTCCCTTGATGAAACGTGGCTCCATCCACATGCCTCCTGGTCTTATTCCTTCGGGTTTATACTGGATATGGGGTGTGTGGTTGGAGTTGTGGGTGGTGCAGCGCAAGCCATCCATGATCCCTCTGTAGGTGGAGGCGTCCAGTAGCTGTTCTATGGTGGCCACAATAATTGACATTCCGGATTTGGATGCTGCTGACCATATGGATACGCATCTTCCCAAGTCATTGGATAAATCACTGCCAAGGCACTATATTTGGTCCGATTCGCAGATGCTTCGCGCTTGGTTGACTTGGGTAGGACCGTTGCATCTGCGCCTACTTTCTCCATCTGTATGAGGTCTAACTGCGGTTACAGCCATCTACAACTTCCGGATTGTTGCTCCTGGCTCTCTCTTGCTCTCTGAATAGTCGGATCATCTCAAACAGCTACGGAAGGTACAGAGCCTTTCCTCTGACAGGATGAGCCGATCTTAATTTTAATACTCTGTGGAAACAATCACCACGTCTGTGTTAGTCACAGTGCGTCCCCTGCTTTTCAGGAACTGACAAGCGCAATGTAGCCGTTCGACGAACGCTGTTTCGGCAATTAGTGTTGGTAGAAAACATACAAGCATCTTCACGCATAAGGGTAGCAACTGTTTACAGTTGTCATAACGCAAAATAATTAAGGCACCGGCAGTACGTCGGTACACCGTACCGACGCTTCGCTGCCATACAACCACCACCGATCGCGTGTTGTCTAAGGACAGGCTCGAACCGGTGACTTCGGGATTCCAAGGCAGGCGTGTGCTCCTTTCGATCATACCGCGAGCCTACATCGTGTTGGTCACCCACGTGTAACTTATCGCTGGATACTTTTCAAATTTGAGCTTTCAAATCAACAGTCAACACTGTGGTTTCTGCACTCCTCTCGTGACGAAGGAGCTTGTTCATCTGATAATATAGATCCTCTTCTATGGAATCAGCGCTGCAATTTGTGTGAGCGTAGGTGACGGTGACCAGCAAACGCCTGTTATCCTCGCGCGACTTTAAAGCTCTGAGCTAACCAGCCGCGCTGATGGCACGCTTCTGATCACGGATTTTAGTCCACTGGGTCAGAACAGCTTTAGCTTATGGATTCAGACCAATATCTGTATTCGTTCGACAGGCGTTGCACAGTGCGTTATCTCCGGATAGACACAATGAGAAGGCGCTGCAACTGTCAAATGAAGGAGCTCGTGGAGTGAGCAGCCAGACTTCCAGTGAACATCATATACCGATAGAGTCTAATTTTCGGTTAACTGCTATCTGTTTATCGTTTTGCAACAAAGCGTGCCAGCTGAAATGTGTCATTCTTAGAGAATGTTGAGCGCTGCAAATGGAAGCGGACTGACTGCTGTGTTCCGCTCGGATCGATATAGGGTTTCTCTACAGAACAGGAGCGATGCTGTGTAATTGCGCGCGAGTCGAAACTCGAAGCCACATTGTCGGAAATAATGAACGGGAGGTCAAACAATAAGAGTTTTTAGATGAATTTATAACGAGGCGATAGAAATAGGAAGAATGAGAAGTGCATTAAGAAGACGGGAAGGTCTAAGCTATAGCGCTCTCACCATTATGGACCTCGCTCGATGCAACAAACTGGTTGTAACTGATTGTCCTCTGCAACGCCCAATACATCAATACATTATTTTCAGGAGTTACCGTCATATCGTGTAGACAGTGTGTTATGGGATTGGCCTGGCCTGGTCTGGAGAATGAGTCGGGTTCTCAGCTAAAGGTTTTGGTTCGAAACCTGACCACAAGGCAACGGGAGCTTTGCAGTGGGCTACGGAGAGTCTGTTTTAAGAAATGAGGAGTCGTCTTCATTCCAATCTTCAACTTGAAACTCTGGTAGACAGTTTGTTTAACCTTTAGCTGTTGACCATTTTGCCATAGTTGGTTCGCAAGGTGCAAAGGTAATACCCATCACAGTTTGTTGGGTCGTTAAGGCACGCAAATCATGCCACTACGTTAATATGCGGTCCATCCTCGCAAACTATTGAATGGCTACACTTTCGAAGTCCAATGTGCCATTAAATATCATCCACTTGATTGATCATCCACTCTGATTGTTGGTGACCAAAATCCAGGTGCAGTTATGTCATATGTCTTCCCAAGTACACCAACATTCATGGGCGCGCGCGGTTTCTAGTGTTACTCTCATGAATATGCCATCTGTATGCCTAGATATCAGCCTTACGCCTTTTCTGCTTGACTAAAACGGGTCGCCAAGACGAAAACTGGTTTCTGAACATTGTTGCACCAAAATATGACTTCAGTATCACAGCTGCCTCTGTTTCCGCTCTCGCAAGCACTTGTACTGCGGAAACCAACCTACTTGAGATAACGTTTCAGAAAGTGTTTGTGGGCGCACCGTTTTTAGCTGAGCGACTCATTGTTCTTAGGAGGTCATTCACTTCCGTATCTCTTTCAGAGGTTCTATGCCAAACCGTCGGACCGCACACGTGTTTGTTATTGGATCTCTCGCTCAGTCACCTCGAATTTTATCTCATGCCTCATCCTTGGCTCAGGAGGGTTGGTCTGTCACGTTATCTGGGCATATATTGGAGTCGGACAAAGTTTACGGAACCGATCGCTTGACTGTACGCCCCCTACCAGTTGGACCTGATTTCCGTAAATTTGTCTACCCCACCATCCTGGCGCTTTTCTTCAAGGTATTTTGAAGCCGGTTACCGCACTTAAGATTACCAATCCGACCGTTTAGTTCATGTGGATTTCCGTCATATTGACATGGCATTTGATTGCGTATTGTCGGAGCCACCTGTTACTGGTACAAAACCCTCCAGCTGTTCCAACCCTCTTCCTGGTTTGGCTCTATGTTCGCTTGACGGGCAAACATCTAGTGATTGATTGGCACAATTATGGACACACTCTATTGGAGTTGAATTCTCATCGCCCAACCATATTGTCTCGGTTTGTCTGTCAATTTTTTGTTAATTGCCTGTCTTTATTTTCCACCCATAGACTTTACCGATTGCTTGAGTTGGATTTTGCAGCGAAATTTCTTGCTTCCTCAAAAAAGGTTCATCATTTGTGCGTGTCGACAGCAATGCAGCAGGATTTGGTTGAACATGGAATAAACGCCACAGTTTTCTATGACCGCGCTCCAGAAACTTTTACCCCGACTACAGCAGCCAACGCTCATGACCTCTTCATTAGGTATCTACCACATTCCTTGTTCCGTATCGATCAAGCACCTTTTTATTCGGACGATTTGTCGCCATTTCTCAGCTTCTGTGTTGCATGAGATTGCCATTTTACAGCCACCGATTGTCATATTGTCTTACCATCGGTAGTTTACGCTTGCGTAAACAGTCTTTCAGTTAACCGAATCAGCTACGGGCCTATCTCGGCTACACTTGTTTGCTCTATATGTTGAGGTAATTTAACTTATCCCTGATGTTTTTGCGAAGCAAACAAGCAAACATAGTTTGTAAAGACGTAATTTAATTGTGCTTCTAGTCTGATTACCTGCCTGAATGAATGTAGTATTACTTTTATTGAATTCCCAGCCAAAGACACAGCGGCGACACCGAGGATAGTTGTGCCTGCAACAATTTTCTACTCTGGTGCTAGTGCCTCGCGGGGGCTATGGATATGTTTCTAATAACAACATATTTAAAACCGCCCAATCAAGATGTAGGCGCTTTGACCCCGAATGTTTGCTTAGGGCATTAAGGGTTTCCGGTAAGTCCCCCTTCTCTCTCTCTTATTATTCTTCGTTCCGTATGTCGTTATCGTTGTATGGCAGCGAAGCATCAGTTCAAGTGGCTGATGTACTGCCGTTGATGATGATGAAATTCAGTCAAATGGCAGTTGATATTGATTGTTGTGTAAGTAACAGCATCGCGACCTAGTTACACCAACGTCGATGCATGAAAATGATGACACCATCTCAACGCTTCTCAGGTCTCCCGGGACTGTCCTCGGACCTGGTGTGAAGATAACCAGCAAATTTAATAGCATCAACATGCAATTAGATTTTAGAAGCATAATACTTGTGAAGAGAACTCTTTTCGGCAATTCACTTCAGGCAAATACAATTACAAGAGATACACGTACAGGTAAGCGAACGCTGGGGATGTGATTGTTTGTACAAAGTCAATCAATAGTCTACTCAATACAATCAGAGGTTATGAGTCTCACGAGCACGCGCGGTGACACACACATGCACAAAGCACAGAAGCGTTAGCCGGCAGGTCTACAATGCTCACTCTCAGTCGTAACCGCGGTCCGACATTACGGCCACGGCAACAATATAGATTGTATCAGTGTTCTCTGCTTGCATAAATCCGGCTGATGTACTGGCTTCAGCGGTGGCCAACAAGCGCTTTTTGATTCCTTTAGGGTAGCTTCTGGGTACCACGTAGACTACCTTGAATGCGTCATTAGTCCGAATCTGATGGTCGGTGCTGCGCAGACGTTCGAGGATCGAGCTGCGGACATTCTTAACCGTACCATGTTCTAAAGAAGCAGGGCAGTGCTCCGCACGACTCATGACGTCTGACTGTATCCAGTAGACTTCGTTCAAACAATCACATCCCCAGCGTTCGTTTACCTGTACGTTCATCTCTCTTGTATTTGCTTGAAGTGAGTTGCCGAAAGGAGTTCTCTTCGCAAGTGTTATGCTTCTAATATCTGCATAGGCATAATTAATGAACTAAAACAACTAGATTTCTTGCAGCATCGAGGTATCATTGCATAACAGTAGCAAGATCCACTATTTTTCTTAAACTTGATCGAACATTGCTAGATAGAATAACTGGTTCTTATGTCTAGCCGACTGAATGGTGTCTGCGACCGATTTATCAGTTAGTACGTATTCTCAATTTTCTGAAATATTTTCGTATGACTCGTTTATAAATCTTTCCGACTCTGTTGACATATTCAATGATGCGCGAATTCGGAGCAGTACCCCGGGGATATTTCAAAGCATCAACGATGTAGGACATCATTGAGGTCAACACAAATAGTCCAGATAAACAAAGTTGCGAAAATATTACATAAAATGGATAAATACGTCGTAGCTAAATTAAAAATGGTTCCCTAACAGGAATAGCAGGTAGTGCCCCACTGCCCAGCTAACGGTTGCAGTGTCTATTTAAACAGACACACTGAATCGACATCTTTGCAGAGAAAAACATGGCTACAACTTTCATTGAACTTTTTGTGCACCTTATTGCCACTTTGTAACAACATTTTCTCCTAGAATCGAAAACTTCCCATTTAAGTATCAAGAACAAGAGACCAAAGGTAAGGAATTGTTTTCGATGATTCATCGTCAAATATGTTCAGTAATATGAGTCGAATAGCAATGGGCGAAACAGTGGATTCGATCAGTTCAAGTGACATTAGATCACTTGCTGACCGGGGGCAAAAACCAGCAACAAACATAAACGATAAGAGCTATCTGGGGCAAGGATGTGGTTGAACCATTTCAACTGACCTCAGTATCATCCGTTTTCTTTGGCAAGGGAAGCTTAAGAGCCCCGATCAGTTTCTTTTATGAACACAAAAGCAGTCGATACAACCTACTACTGATTTCCTCGGTGGTAGCAAGAGTGCGGAGACGCAGGCCTTTCCATTGGCGTGGAAGGACCCTGTATACTATTCGAAAGACACGGGTTGGCTCAACCTCATGCCTGCTATCAACAAGGGGAGCCATAACGGAGCTAGTTATAGTCTTGATACCGCCTCGACGCAACCAGCGTGCTCATTAATACGCTTTGATAGGTATCGCGCCGTTCGACCGATGTAAGTGGCGCCAAAGGCGCACCATAGAAGCGGTCAGCGTCGGTAACTTGTCTTTGTTGTGAATACGAATGAGAGGCTCCGTTGAGAAAGTACACTTGTGCTTAGTTGCCGAAAAAGTTGACTTAACAGCTGCTGAAAGGCTTCTGATGGCACGTTCGACGGCTGCGTCCCTCTTAAAAGGTAGTCTTATAAAAAGTGGTTCCTTTTCGTCTGTTGCAACCTGCACCAGGTCGCGTTTGTCTTTCGTGTTCTTAAGAATGAATTGGTCGAAATATCCACTTTTATGCAGCACATTTAGAATGAACGCCAACTCATTATCCAACGTGTCTTCAGAACAGATCCTGTGCGCCGTTGTGATTAAACCGATTTCAGTTTCGCTTCTATCTCAAAGGAGCTAAACTATGGTAATTTGTATACTGGCCACTGCATGCTTTCTTCCTTTAGACTTGCCATTGGATCGAGCCATCTACCCTTCGAGTTAACCATATATCAAGGGCGGGCAACCGATGGCTCACTTTTTTCTCGCAGGAACAATGCAATGCTGCGTGGGTCCGATTAAAGAGGTCAATAACAGTGTCGAGGTCCATGGACTGATCGGCCATAACAAATATGTCATCCATATAGCAATTGTAATAATCAAACGTGGCGATCTCTGCATGTAGGTTGGTATTCTCTAATTTCGTCTTGACCCCCGCGATGAGACTGGATTTCAACGCGGTGCGATGGTTTGCTTGCTTCAACGATCCATTGGCCTATGCTGGATGGTTCTTTTGCATCTTCAAAGCTACTGGTTAGAGTCCTGAAAAAAACTCAGTCTGCTGGCCATCCAGCTTGGGGGTTGGAGTGAGGGTGGCTCTCTGTAGTCCAGTGTCAAAACCCTTCTATCTAGCAGTCAGGTTTTTAGACCCAGGGCTTTGGTTGAGAACAAGAATCGTTCTGTCTAGGCTTGGGTTGCCTGACAGTATCTTGCCCACAATACAAGATTATGACTTCTCCTTCAAACAATCTTTTGATGTTCTGGCCACCGCAATGGATAATAAACGGCGCCCTATCTGCTGGATCGAGCAGGGTGGATAGGGGTTTGGGTGCTACTGCCCAAGTCTTTCAGTCTTCTTATCCCCTGTGCTTTTTCATCCTTATCGTTCCGTTCCAACTTCACTTTTCTCCATCCTATGGGGTGCATTAGCTGAGGTGTGTTCTTAACCCTCGGCTAAGGCGTATTGTTGATGATGATGATGATGATGATGATGATGATGAATTTTCCCATGAAGACATCAGCCAACACTGTACCTAGTGGCGATCCCATGGCTACACCATCTTTTTGTCGGTAGTAGGTACCATTGAATAAGAACTGTACATTTAAGTGCAAAGAGGCTTTTCAAGTCCAAATAATGGTATGCATTTCGTTGTTTATGTTTCTTCTATGTAGTTGCAAATTTAATCCGTTGTCTCAAAAGCGGGACGTTGGTGAAAAGTGAGACAGCATCCAAGGAAAAGATTACTGTCTTACCGATGTTGGAGTCTCTGATGCTCTCGAAGAAATGAAAAGTATCGCGAAGGCCGTGGTGTGTAAGTCGTTGTCTTATTGGCTGAAGAATTTCCACAAGCCATTGGGCGACCGCATGACAGGTTGAATTAGCGGTTGCTATTATTGGGAGAAGTAGAATATCAGTCTTATGGATTTTAAGTAACCCGTAAAGCCTCGGAACATTGGTGCCACTCGGCTTAAAGCCATCATAAAAAGTATTTGAGATGTATCCACTATTCGGAAATTCTTGCAGGATTTTAAAAATCTACTTTTTGACTCTCTCCGTTTGATCCTTTTCTTCAATCATTCGGGAAACTTTTGTTTCATCACTCAGGTCTCGAGCTTGTTTATATAGTCATCTTTGTCTAGTAGAATGACCCCGGTACCCTTGCCTAATTTGCATAGGAAGGTGTTATCATTTCTAATTGGAGGGCCATTTTGGATTACACGTTGGATTGCGACGCGCAATCTCACTGTGGACAGCGATTCACATTGGAGTGAATCTTGGTCACTGCGATCACTGGGACCGTAGCCGAAGCAGATGGAAATTAGGTGTTGCCCGTCCGAAAACACTGCACAACCACGACGCTTTTCTGTATCATTTTGTCTCATCAGGTGGACATAGCAGGCCTGGAACCTGCAGTCATTGGAATAGTAGCCGAAACCTCTACCCCTTTGGTTACCTAATTTCCATCTGCTTCGGCTACGGTCCAACTGATCGCAGTGATCAAGGTTCACTTCATTGTGAATCGCGGTCCACATTTAGATAGCGTGTCGCAATCCAATCACACAACGTGTAATCCAAAATGGCTCTCCAACTAACCGTTGGGCCAAGTGTTGCCCCTCGTGACCCGGTAGCCAAAAAGGTAGAAGTTTC